CTACTGCTACTGCTGCTGCTACTAGTACTACAACAACACCTACTACTACAATTACTACTACTACTACTACGACGACTACTACTACTTCTACTACGACTTGTGAGTGCACATACATGTCACTGCGTCATGTGCACATTTCTCTGCCAGCTGTAGTTCAGACTTGCAAGTTGTTGTAATTTTATGTTTGTCCAAAGCAATGCGTTTTGGCTCAAGTGCTTTTTCTAGCTACTAGGTGTGCCAAGTGTGCACGGCAGATAGCAGGTGTGTAGCTCTTGAGTTGCACGCCTGCGGTCGGTCGTACGACGCGGTGTTGCCTAGGGACTGGGACCGCGCGAGTGAACTCGCGAAGCATAAAACAGTTGCGCTGCTGTGTTTGCCACTTTGTGCAAGACCAGATAGCGTGCTTCACAATTGGGGGCTGTTCTGGGAACGTGCTCCCCCAGGTCCCACGGCCCATCGCGGTCCGTGGCTGGACGCGTGGGTCTCGGCCCAAAGCGTGTTACCCTTCTCGAGTGCATCGAGACGGGCACGGCCCTTTACCCCGGGCGTATGAGTTACGTCCAGTGGTTGAAGTGGCGGAAGGATACTGGTACCCGACCGCTTAAGAGCCGCGACGGGCGGTTGACTACCTCTGAGGAAGAGGTCGCCCTTCGGCGCAGAGTCATGGAGCTCCTCCATGAGATGCAGGAAGGAGAAGAGGAGGAGGAAGAGGAGGAAGAGGAGGAAGACGAGGAGGATCTTCCTCCCTCCAAGGAACCCGTCGATGGAGACGAGGGTCCAGAGCTTATTCCCACTGCCGGGGATGGCTCGGTGGAGGCGGCTGTCCCTACGCGCCTCCGTGGGCGATGGCGGGCGCCTCCGAGTGGGCCGCTGCCCTCAAGGAACAGACAGAGGCCTTGAAGGAGGCTCTGTCGGGCTGCCTGGTCATCTCGGACCCTGAGGCCGTGTACCTTCGCATCAAGAACAAGCGGCGAGAGCCGTGAGGAGCGAGAGGTGAGGGTGGATGGTGAGCACCAGACCCTCACGAAGGGGAAGCTCACTGGTCCCCTTTTCGAGGCTTCCATAGCCGATCTTGAGGCGGTCGGCTTAGGCAAGACGAAAATTCGTCAGGACAAGCGCATCTGGCCCGGAGACGGCAAGGATGTTCGTCTCCGCTCCCCTGCACCCAGCAAAGGGAGGCGGCCCACACTCCACCTACACCCCCACCCGTGGCAACTCGGCAGCCCTGACCTCGGCGACGACGTCGCCAGGCTCCAGGGTCCTGCTGAGGCCACAGCGCTTGGGGCCCATGTGCATAAAGGTGTTGAGTCTCCTGAGGAGTTGCAGGATGATCGTAGAGTTGATCACAGAGCTTCACCATCGGTGCTGCGTCAGGTGTGGCTGCTGAGGGAGCTGAGGGCCACCGCCGCAGGGAGCAACTACGCCGGCGCTGCCGAGACCTGCGTGAGCGTGTGCGAAATCTAGCAGTGCGCAGCTGTCTGCCAAAACACTGACGCACTCCAGCCTGAGGAAAGGTGGAGCACACAGAAGCAGAGTGCAGAGCGGGGCAGGGCAGCGTATAAGACAGTTCGGATAATTAGCTCCCAGGAGTGATCAGAGTCAGAGGCCTGAGAGGCCTCATGGAACCCCGGGGCACGCGGACTCAGATCTACAGCATGAGGATCCGCTTGAAACTGTTTTGGGAGACCTGCGCCGCAGAGCGCTCTAGCCAGAGGTCTGCTGTCGAAGAGTGAGATGCACATGAACCACACGCTGTTCACTCTGCGCCGGATCGAGGGTGTATGTTCCCGAAGTCTCTGCAGCGGAGGCGTCCGCATGTGCTCGCGGCGAGGAGATCGAGCGCGCATCCGAAGCCAGGTTGGCGCATCGAGGGTTGCTGCTGGGACCCTGCACCAGGCCAAGCTGGAGATTGACCAACACCGGACCGGAAGAGGGGGTGGGGAACCTCCAGGAAATAGGTGCACTCATCATCGCGCTTCCACGTGGTCCGAACCCAGAAGGGGCAGCCTGCAGGAGATGTGTCGAGGTGCCACTGGACCTGGAGTGACCGGGCTAGAGACTGGCGCCGGAGGGGGTGGCCCAAAGCGTTCAGCTGTTGCACACCTTGTTCGAACTGGTTTCTACCGCGGTGGGAGGCAGGGAGGGAGCGGCTTCGCATTAACACCTGCACAGGGTATCCAGCTTGAACCGTAGCCAGGCAGAGTAGGGGGCAATCGCTTTGATGTGCAAAGCTGCTCGCCAAAGCACAATTTACAGAAATAGGCAACGTCGGCAACTGCGAAAGACGGCATAGTGAGCACTGACCCCACTCATGAGCCGATTGGCATGGGTCCTCGTCGTCTGCCTCCGGCAACCAAAAGCTGCGGGAGCGAGGCCGAGATGCTGCATCTGGCACATAGTCCGGGTCGTGGACTTTAGCTACCGTCGTAGATCAATTGAACAACGCCCAGCCGGAGGCTGCGAAAGCCACAGCACTCTTGGCAATAGCATCATTGGATCAGGCGGCTATAGATCAGGGGAACTGGCTATTGGCCAGCGAGTTTGCAATGCAGCCGTCGCCTCCTTTCAGCGCTTTTCAGCGTCCTCGAACCCTCGATCCTTTGGAAGCAAGACAGACCAAGATCATCGATTCAAGGTGGATTTCAGTGTTCATGTCCCGATTGAAGGAGCGAGACGCCTTTCACACGGCCAAGAAGAACCTTTCGGCGTACGCGAAGCGTTCGAGTCCGTCGTCTCACTTGGCACTTGGCGGAGGGGCAATTGGCGCCCGAGCCTGGCCGCTCCATGACCCAGACTCTAACGGAGCTCTTTCCCCAGCCATCTACCGGGAGGAGAAACTGAGCAACGGAGACAGACAGAGGAAGAAGTGGGCCATGAGAGCGTTAATGCGCTTCCTCAAGACTGCGGACCAGAGTCCTGACTCCGAGGCAGGGGCTTCGCAGCGCAGAGTGAAGATGCCGAGTGGACATGCCAACCATCGGAGAGCTTGTGGACGGGCCTGAGTGACAGGAGTGTGGCAGATGCGCACACCAGGACAGCGCGGCTCCTTATGCACGAAAGCCGGTCAGAGGCAAAGGCTGGCAGTTTCTCAAGTATCAAAATCTGCTTTTGGCCAACGGTTATGTACAGACTAGCAGCTACATCAGAAGTCGGGCAGATCATCAAAGGCGGGCTCAAGTTAACAGATTTGTCGTCTGGCGGGCGATGCTCTCGTCCTCAGGAAGCCGGGCCTCCACCAAGCAAACAAAAACCTGCTGACTGCCTGCGGGCGTTGTCATCGGGCTCGGAGCGCCGCATGGAGGCATTGAACCGCTCCAGCTCTCCCAGCGTGGTATGCACCATCGCTTCGGCGTCTGGCAGGGTCGAGGCCAGCGGGTCCGTAGGAGAGCGACTCGAGTTCGGCTCTGATACGGGAGGCGAAGGCACGCCCGAAGACATGCCGCTGGTTGTAGTAGGTGGCCCGCAAATTGCCGAATTGCCTTTGTTGCCTTGTCAGCCTCGGAAGACACATAGAGGCGGCAAAAGGTGCCCTGGACAGTCTTGGCAGTCCCCTCAGAGTGCTAAGGACGAAGGTGCGAGAAGGCCTGTATGCGCAACTCGCAGGGCCATGGACCGGCCTGAGTAGACAAGGAGGGCAGTCACACGACACTGCGGCAAGATCACGTAAAGACGCAGGCAGAGGCATGCATGGACGTGATAGCTTTTCGCAGGCCTCACAGTCACATGGGAGGCAGATTCTGGCCAAGACCCAGCGCTTGCTGGCGGCAGCTCAGAACTCGCACCAACAGCGGCAAAATCGTCATCCCCATACCACTGCCTGAGCCCAGTGTGCCAGAGGAGACGTTGGCAGATCCGCAGGGTCGGAGAGGGTTCGCCTCTCTCACTGAAAGCCATTTGGCCTGGAGAGCCAGAGAGCTGCGAGCATTACCGACGACGCTTCCTGTGTGACCTGATCTGTACGCTTGCCCTTCTTGGCGCTCCCCCAGGTGGCATAGGCTACCTCCCATTTGGCTGCCCAGAAGAGCCCATCCCCGCAGAGTGGAGTCCAGCGTATGTAGTGCTCGGCGTTGTGCCCCAAACTGTCCCGGTGGCGGTAGATGCCCGGTCTGCCGGAAAAGAATCTATCGCCCCGGGCGGCATCCCCGCTCGGCCAAATTTTAAAAAGCAACCCGTGATAAACTATAGAATAGAGCGCCTCCAGCTTGCACCCATGCCAGCCTCTGAGCCAACCGTGAGGGAGAGGAGCATCAGGAGGAGGATCAGTCTGTGCCATGGAATATGCCGCCAGCCATATGTTCACGTGAACTTCTCCAGGGGCACGCCAGCTCAGGGTGCAAAGACAGGCGTCCACACGATACATCGCATGGGCATGGTGCTGTAGGGCTCCGACGAGTGGAGCACTTGGAGCTGCGCAGCATCCAACGCCAACACGCGTCATCCAGGAGAGAGGCAAGTGCAAACAACCTCGATTCAGAAAGGCGACCGACAGGAATTTCCGCCTTAGAGCCAAGGCATTGGATGTCGGCACCTGAGCAAGCCAGCTTGAAGGAACAGCAGGGTAGCAGTCACAACTGGGCAGTGCTCCAGAAAGCCATCCAGGGAACATAAGGCTGCAGGGGCACCGAGCTGACGGAAGCAACTTTTTACCATGCCTAAGCACACATGGCTCACATCCCCTCTGACCATTCCTACCCCGTGATATCGGAAGAGCCATTGATCTGCCAGCCCACAGGACAGCTTACACCGTATCTCCGCATCGTAAGAGGGTGTTGATGGAGGAGCACCGCCGAGAGCCGCGGCGGCAGGACCAGTATGTGCCTTGGGAGTCGCCTTGGCCTTGGCCGTAGAGCTGCGGACAACTGGTGGCATAGGAGTGAGGCTCGAGTGCATTGGCATATAGGGACAGTAGGTCCACGTCGGGGAAGGCGTGAAGCAGACGTCCTAGCCCGGAATCTGAATGGAGAACCCTGCCCTGTGGGCCACATGCCCAGTGGTTGAGGATCGCGGTGAGGCTGCTGGGCGGGAGCCCTGCAGAACCTGAGGCCTCGGAGCTGCGTCCTCACACGACGAGCTATGGAACAGCGAGACGTCAGAGAACTCTCAACTGCCTCTGTCTGGGATCGGCCACTACTACTACGACAGGGTACAAGCACGCAACCTAGATGAACGCCGGGCAAAGTGGTGAATGCTGAATGCTGAGTAGTTGGACGACCTGCGCAGAGGCCAATTCAAAGAAAGAGCCAGGTGGCCAAGGACAGGGCTGGAGCCCAAGAGGAGCACAGAGGGCAGTTGCGGCAAAAGCTTTTGCCGGGTGATAGTGCCCAGAGGTATGTGGAGGCCAGCTAGTCCATCGTCTCCAGAGCTGCCACCGTGCGGCCTACACAGGCAGGGTGAGTAGACTCTGCCAGTCTGCAGGGGCAAAAGGGCAACGTGCAGGCCACCTGTCCGGGTATGCATAAGGGTTGCCCGTTGCCGAGAAAGTGGATGTCGAGAGCCATCGAGCTGCTACCGTCATGGCATCCAGGTGAGACTGCAGTTGGAACTGGCTCTTGGCCAGCGACTGAAGGTGGATCCTGGCAGGCGTGATGGCAACGGGGAAGCACACCTGAACTGCATGCAGACTTGAGGGGTGGCTGCACAGAGGCGCTTTGAGCGGGCCGTGACCACTGTGGTTCGCCAGACCACTTGTACCCTGACACGAACCTGAAGCAGAGCTGAAGTGCCCCACAAAGCAGAGCATCGTTAAGTGCCAGGCAGTTGCGTGGCTGATGGATTTGCCGAACCTGTCTAAGAAGGTCCTTTGCCGAGGGGAAGAATGCATAAGCCTCAGTTTGCGGCCTGCAGGGCCATCTGCCGGAATCTTGTTCACCCGGCTGGTACTTGTGAAGGGTCTCCGAAGGTGTGGAGGGCCATGGCAGACGTATAACAAGAGCCCTGAACAAGACAAAGACACCGACCCAGCCCAACCAGAAGAGGACCGACGCCAGAAACACACACCAAACCCAACACCAGGTTCGCTCTGCTGCTGAGCCTTATACATTACATTACATTACATTACCTTACCTTACCTTACCTTACCTTACCTTACCTTACCTTACCTTACCTTACCCTACCCTACCCTACC